TTTGTAAGTCTTCCTACAGTCCTAATGCCACGTTCTTCATATAATCCAACTTCTGTTATTATTTGCTCAGCATACAGATTGAATAAGTATGGTGAAAGGATACAACTCCGACACATATTTTTTCTTGATTTTAACATGCAGTAACCCCTTGTTCTGCTCATACAGGGTTGTCATGAATGCAGTAAGTGTTCTAGAATCTCCCTTCTCAATATTACCCAAAGTTTATTAGGATCCACACAGGCGAACCTTTGCATAGTTAATAAAACACAAGTAAATCTCTTTCTGATATTCTCTGCTTTCAGCCAAGATCCATCTGACACCAGGAATAATATACATTATTTCACATCCTTTTCTGAATCCGGCCTGAACCTCTGGCAACTTCCTGTCAGTGTATTGTTGCAAGTGTTGTTGGATGATCTTTAGCAAAATTCTACCGGCATGTGATATTAATAATATTCTTCACTTGGCCAGGTAGCCAACTGAAGGTTTTCCAAATTTCTTGGCTTAGATTAGTGAGTGCTTCTAGTGCTTGATCAGCTTGTTGAAACATTTCAATTAGTATTCCAACAATTTCTGGAGTCTTGTTTTTGGCTAATGTCTTCAGTGCAGCTTGGCCTTTATCTTACAGTACCATTGGCAACTGTGTTCCTATCATCTTCTTTTGATGCTTCCTGCATCATTCAATACTTTGCCCATAGAATCCTTCAATATTGCTTAATTTTCTCTCTTTATTAGCTTGATATAGGTTGAGTGTGTTCTTCATTTTGGTTTTTGAATTCCTGGTCTTTTCACATTCATCATAATATTTTACTTTGTCTTTTCAAGATGCTCTTTGGAATTTTCTGTTCAGCTCTGTTATATCATCATTTCGCCCATCTTCTTTACGATCCAGAGCAAGTTTCAGTCTCTTCTGACATCCACTCTGATGCTTTGTTTCTTTTCCATCTTTTAAAGGCTTTTGCTTCCTGTATTATGTTCTGGATGTCACCCCACAGTTCATCAGGTCTTCTTTAATAAAAGAACACGAATAAGTGTTCAGTGAGTCAAATCTGTCCTTGAACTGTTCTTGAAATTCAGGGAGGATATGCTCAAGGTCATATTTGGACTCGCATGAACTTGTTTTTATTTTCTTCAACTTCAACCCGAACTTACTTAAGAGCAATTGATGGTCTGCGACACAATCAGCTCTGGTCTCATTTTGCTGATGATATGGAACATTTCCATTGTCTATTCCCACAGATGTAGTCAATTTGATTTGTATGCATTCATCTGGGGAAGTCCGTGTGTGCAGTCACCGTTTATGTTGAAAAGGATATTTGTGATGCAGTTGTTGGTCTTGCAAAATTCTGTCATGGATCTCCAGCTTTGTTTCTGTCACCAAAGCCCTGTTTTCCAATTACGGTTCCTCTTTGTTTTTGAACTTTTGTATTCCAATAGTCAATAATTATCAATGCATCCTGATTGCATGTTTGATCAATTTTCCACTGAAGACATTGGTAAAATTCTTCAGTTCATCACTAGTTGCGGTGGTTGGTTCATATCTTTGAATAATAGGTATATTGAGTGGATTTCCTTATATGTGTATCAAAATTATCCTATCAAAAACAATTT